TTTGATAAACCAGAAAGTCAGGCTGAAGTCAGACTGTCCAGCTGATACTACATTTTAGGAATCATAGCTCAGTGTGTCATCACAAAGATTTTCTCCATCAGCTTAAAAATCCCCCAGTATAAATAAAAAATTGTCTTTCTGACACTTGGAGTCCTAGTCTAATGGGTATTTCTAGATAATTACTTTTTATTAATGTTAATAGTAATAGTAGCTTGTGTCACTGGTGCCAGAAAGCTCCAGCTGTGGGATTTCCTTCTGTAAGAAAATAAGATCTGTAAAGAAAAATTTCATTTTCCTGCTCAAAATGTAGGTTAGATTTTTATTTTACATTCCAAGCCATATTTGCATAACCCCAGCAATAAACCCAGGCAGGAAACTTTTTCTTGATTTTGTCTTTGCTGCAAGGAACACTGTTTTACCAGTGTGATACTACTGCTTATTTTTCTTACTGCCAATTACAGAGGCTACTGCACAGACTGACCGTATGAAAAATGGTTACAGATTACTCAAAATTCTCACTGAATCTTGAAAGACTCAGTAAACATGATGGTATTAGAAAATAAACTGTCAGAATCCCCGAAGGTGGCATTTCTGTAGATAATGACAGACAAAAAAAGACTAGAAGGCACATTCTGAAGTGCTGAGCTTTCTACATTTGATTTAATGCAAATATTTATAGTAACTTAGGTTCTATGGGAGTTGCTTAAGTATAAAAATAGTTTACAAAGAAAACAGTTTTATTAGATGGAGGCTCAGGACTCATACCCAGAAAGAAAATGCCCATCCCATGTCAGAAGGGCACTGGCAAGGGGCATGGAATGCAGGAGACAACAGGCTATCATTTCTCTCCTATTTTTAGTGTGCTTTGGTGTTTTTGTGGTCTTTGTCCTGGATTTCTTCTCAGCTTCTCCTCAGCTGAGCATAGTCAGCTCTGCTAGGTCCATTGCTTTCCCCTGTGAATATCCAGCTGAGGCCAGAGCCATACCAGCCTTTAGCTCCCTGCTCTCATTGAGGCAGCTTTAGACCATGCTTAAAGAAAAAAAAAAAAAAAAGAGTTTTCCCCATTACAACCAAAATGAAATTTTGGCCATGTTGGCAGATGAGGAAAAAAATGCCTATGATGTCAATAGGATCAGGATTTCATATCAGGAGTGGAGAAGAGGTTGTTGCAGTGTGTGAATGCCTGCTTCTGGGGCATTGCTGTACAGTTCTTGAAGTGGATGGCTCAAGTATCAGCCTTTGCCTCTTCTGCAGCCCCCCATGAGCTAAGCCTCCTCTCTGCTGCTGCAATCTCTGAGGAACCTTACATCTGTGGTTTTAAAAAGAACTGCATTTAAAATGTTAAAAACTTTAGTCACAGATGTGTTTTTAGAACATGCCAACTTCCTAATGTAGGATACTTTAGGCTGATGATGTTCTATAAAGAATTGAACCCATGTCAGCAGAGGTCAGGTTAGGCTGACAGTTGCTACTTTTGGAAATGCTTTCACCAGATTTAATTTTAATTGAATTTCATTAAATAATTTCAGTCTGTGAAACAGAATCAGGCACAGCTTATGAACAGTTCAGATCTGTCAGGGCCACCTGCCCTGAGTTCAGCTTAAATGACACCGGGAAGTCACAAGATGTTTAGTTGTGTGATGAGGTGACACCTGTCACACTGGCTCTTGTGGGGCAACACTCCTGGTTCGGGTGACGAGAAGGCAGAGCAGCAGGTGCCTGGCTGCAGGAGAGTGCATGAGATGTCCTCCTGCTGCCACAGTGATTTGTTGTGAATCACAGCATGGTCTCCCCACACTCTTAGTTTCAGCTTCCAGGACAGAAAGATTGATGCCACTACATCTTGCTTTCTGGTCAGAAATAAGAATTTTTGCAGCATGCTGAGGTGCATGGCTTCAGTTGGGGTCAGCAGTAAGACCTCTGAATCTCTGTTGTGGTGTGTACAGGGCAGAATGCAGTCCTAGTTTCTTGTATAAATTTAAGCTGGAAGCAACATTTGGCATGAAAGCTAATGAATTTGATAGCAGGAGAACTAAAACCCAAGTGGAAGATAAATGGACCCCACCCTTGACCAAAACTGCAATGTACTGCCTACCTTTAACCCCAGCATTACCTGCAAGTGTCCCTGAATGCTGTCTTTCTTCCATCCTGTAAATGAGAAAGGCTGCCTGGCTCTTTCTCATTTAAAGTATATGTAAATCTGGGATACACAGCACATACACAATTGCAGGGCATAACCTGAAAGGTGATCGAAACCTCCTCAAACAGCTACGCTTATGACACAAGAGACATCCTAAGCTCTGTAAGCCTAAACTGTGTGGTGATCTGTTTTCACAGTCTCAGTAGATGGGACTAAAAATGGCAAAACCCAGCATGTGACTGTATCAGAAATAAGGGGTGAGGCCCTGTGAGAGGAGGGCAAGGTAATTTCTATAAGTGTGCAACTGCATTCTTGATGTATTTGGCTGTAGCTTTGCACATGCAGGTGAGCAGCAATGTGCACATCAGTTAGGCATGCAAACAAGAGTTGAGCAGGCAACTTAAGGTATGGTTGAGAAGAAGGAATGTGGGTGGCTACACTGGAGTTCTGGGCTTCAAAATCTTTTGAAAAGGCAGCATTGTGTTTGAGCTGATTGAGCAAAGCAGCCTGGCTAAAGGCTCAGTTAGGGATCCTGGTCAGAGGACCTGCTGTGCAGGGAAAGTGTTCAAGATGCCCCATGCTTTGGGGGGTTATTTCCAGGCTTGACTGCTCAGGCTGATAGACTGGTGGATAGGCCATGGCTTTCCCTCTCACCATAGCCTTCTCTTGCAGTGGCCACATCAACCCATGGGAAGAGCCTGTGGTGTGCAGGAGACAATTTTGTGCCTCTTTGTGGTGCAAGGGATAGGAGATACCTTCATATTGCATGCCACCTCCTGGCTGTGATACCTATATAAACAGCTTTCTAATAGGACTTGCCAAGGCAGATCTAACACACTCAGCTCCTTGCTCCACGTGCCTTGTTATACATTAAACCCAAAGATTTGAATTTCAACTGCAGCTGTGGAGCAAAATTAATGAATAATTGGTTTACTAATAATAAGTAAAATCTGCTTTCCTTATCTTTCCCCCTTCCTCCTCTCATTTTTATTTTTTTTTTTCATTCTAGATCCACTAGTAGTTTATTAGTGATCCTTATCAATCCAAGTGTGGGCAGAGATGAGGGGACTTGTATGGATAGTGAAGAGCAGGGCGCTGTTGAGAACCTTTCTCTGGATTATTGTTTTTTTAAATAGCCTTTTTTCTTGCATGTGCAGTTTGATGCCCAAATCTGTGATGCTGGACGTATGAAACCCTTCCTTTATACTGCAGTGGCTGTTTGAAATTTTCTTCCTGAAAACATTAATATATGTCCAGTTCACCTTAATGGGTGATCAAAGTGCATGTGCTGAAGATGCACTCTTCCATGTTTGAGTAATTGTGCCAACCTAAATCTTGTAAGTGCTGTGTGACTTAGAGGGTACCATATGAGCATTGTGAGTCAGACTGGAGAACTCTCACCATATAACTTCCATTGACACCTTGTTGTTTGTGGCTACCATCAATCATTGTTTGGATGGGAGACAAGAGAGTGTGCTGTTATAGGGAGCTACAGACACAACAAATTGGTACACTAGTCCAAAATACAAGAATAATTATTTAAAGGTAGATTAATTTCACTCAGTAATAGACATACAAAACAATTCCAGACACAAAAGAGTCCCTGCCTTGTCTGTAATCCTCTCCAGATGAAAGGACCTGATCCTTTAAATCCCAGAGATGTGGGGCTGTCTGCTAGGAGTGGCTCATGTGGCAGTTCCCTGGGGTCTGCAGCTGCACAACACGCTGCCTCCTGCTGCAATTGAGGGGCTTGGAAGACCCGTATGTAGAAACCAAGGGAAACTTTCCATCTTCAGGGATGTGTTCAATTTAGAAGACAGTAGGTAGCAGTGCTCAGGGAGGGTCTGGGTGATGTGCCTGTAGTAGTGGGAGGCCTCCTTTGAAAAATGCCCTCAGTATGCAGAAGAGAGCAAGAAGGTCAAGGTAGCTCAGTGTTTGTACTTTGAGGCTTTTTTTCCCTTTTATTCTGCCCAGATTTAGAGCCAAATAGGAACCTCTCAAGTGGGAAAAGTGCAGAATCTCAAAACAGACACATAAGAGTTTTTCTTCGGTATAAAATTCAGTCAATAATGTACTGCTGCCTTATTGACATGAAAATAATGCCTTTCATGTGATACAAACATTTACTTGCTCCTGCTTACTCTACTCACCTTGTACAGAAATGCTGATTGCCATTGACTAATCAGTCCATTTTTGTATATTCTCATCAGACTCTTTCTTTGGCTGGAACAATATGCACTGTATGATGCTTGCATGTCTAATAATTTGTTATTAGCACTTTGTATATGCCGTTGTTACTTCACAACTAACAGTTTGGCCTCCAAGTGCATGCTTTTATGCAGATTAACGTGTTATAATGTAATAGATTTATTTCCTATGTTTGTATCCATATAGAAGGTGTGTAAGATATGCATAAAGACACTGATAATTGCCATTTAGTCACTGGCAGAAGACATTGTTCAGCTTGTATTTATACAATCACTGTTTCTATTTATGCTTTGCAGTGCCATGTCTATCTTTTAGTTCCATATTTATTTAATTGCAGATTTGGTTTGTTAATTTTGTAATGATTCATTGCATTACAATATAAAACAGTTTAAGAAATAATTTTTGTTATGCAATACAATTCTAATAAGACATAGGACATTTTATTTTTCTTTCCAGTGTTCCTGAAAGCTTAAAAATACTTTTATTCATATAATGAATTAGAGTACTGATCAAACAACTTTATCCCCCCAATATTGAGCTAATAATAAGCAAAATACTTGGTTCTGAACCAAGCTTCAGAGTAATGGCAGTTGCTGTTGCAATGCTAGGACCCGAAGACATCACATTTATTTTGTGTGTTTCAACATCTCAGGACACTGTCTCCTGCAAAGTCTCCATCTTCATCCACCGGATCTATTGCTTCCAGCAGAAAATACCCTTACCCATTGCCACCGCTTCCTGACGAGGAGAAAAAAGCCAACAGGCAAAGTGCCAGGGTATGTGTCCCTCTTCTCTGTCCAGTTGGTCGGTGACTGGATTTACTGGTGGTTTTTCAAAAGGAGAGGGAGGCAGATCAGCATCTGTGACTTAACAGTGAGAGCAGCAGTGACATCTCCTTCACACAGTGATCAGGGCAGCCTTCATGGCTGTTTACAGATATCCATTCAGGTTGCTCTTAAACCTGCCCTGAAACCCAGATTTCACTGGTTTTCTTATTTCAAGCAGAGAGTTTGCTGGGGGCAGCCTTTGGGCTGGGGAGGACAGGCAGCCTTGGAGCAGGCAGCATGTCTGCTTCTCCTCCCTTACCCCTCCCGGGGCAGCTGATGCTGCTAGCATGGTCTGAACAGACACCAGAGGCTGGGAGAACACCTAAAACGTGGCCTGTGATGTAGTGATGTGATGTAGATGCAGTTCCCCCAGCAAGCTCCTCACGCTGTTTAGGTAACAGCCTGTTTTATCTTGGTGTTCAATGTGCGTTTGTGTTCCTTTTCCCCCTCTCCAGCTATGGGAGACGTCCATTTAGCTGCACAGTTTTCCTGGGGTGGCACCAGAACTGTTCACTTCGGATTTTATAGAAACTCAGTATCACTGAGTCATCGCACATTCATCTGCTCTTCAAACAATTCAAGAGATCAACAGAGGTGCCCGTCATCACAGTGAGAAGCTCCTCTCATCTGGAAGGGAAAAAAAGCAGTCTTTTTTTTTCTTTCTTTTTTGTCCACTAGTATTTTATGGATTTTATGAACAACCAAAATTGTAACAAATGAACAGTGGATAATTAGCCCGGACATGACAAGGCTATTCCGCATGATGACAGATACACTTTCCTAGAGTCCCAGCTGCAGTCCCTTTGCCAGTTCTGTGTAAGAGAGGTTTTTCTCTGCTTTGATTCAGTCCCAAGTCAGACTAGAGTGGAACTGGGAACGCGCCTCCTGGAGAGCCCAGCCGATGTAAACTTGTACACTGTATGCATGAACCTTGTGTTCTTTACTTTTCACATGTAAGGGATAAACAACATACCATAGTAGGAATTAGCATGCAGGAGTAAGAAATACAGGCTTTTTTTGTGACAGGATTTCAATGTTTGGAAGGCAACTATTTGACACAAACGTCAAACAAACAAGAATTATATCTTTTTTTTTAACCTTATGTGTTTATAATCTCAGTATACAGGTTGTATATATGTAAACATTTGATAATGTCAAAAATAGCTGTTATACGTAAGTGTATTTTGCCAAATGCCTAAAAAACAGTCATGACTAACATCATCACAATTCAAATTTTCTAATATTATGAGCAGACATCTTTGGAAATACAGAAAGTACAGTACTTTAAAACCGTGTCTTTCAGAAACTGGTGTTTGAACAAACCTAACCTGACTTTACAGTATCTTAAACACTGTCTTGACAATCTAAGTTGTATGGTAGACTGAAGAAACCAGTACAGCAGCACTTTGTTTTAAGTCATTATAAGAGGAGCCAGCCAAAATCCATTGTTAGGTGAGATGACTAGGGCATCCTCTACAGATCTAATGAAAAATTAGTCAGCAGTTGATGGAGACAGTCTTTAAGTGATGTGCAGTCCAAGCTTACTGGACATTTGGTAATACTTCTATGTAGTCAGTTCAGAATGTGGTGATGTGATATCCTGGTGAGAGTTGCTGTGTATTTTTGATAGAGCATTTCAGACACTGTTTTAGATGGCAAGGTATAGCTTATGAGAACCATAACCATCTCACTAGATAGTAACAGTGCTGGGCAAGTGGCCAGTTCCATTGGTGTCTTTTCATTTTTATTTGTTACTGGGATCGCCTTTACCAGACGCTTGAATACCAGATGCTTGCTGCCCCTGAAGCGCCCTTGACAATTTCTGGGGCCTTACACTGAATACAAGGGAGTTTAGTCTAAAAAAATAAATGGGAAGGGGACACATAAGACAAACAAACCCTTTACCATGGAGATATTAATCTTGTGTATAAGTGGATGGTTAGATTTCTAATGCCTGAGACTTCTAAAGGTTGTTGTAAACCAAATGTCTTTTGATGGGAAATGTTCAATCAGTAAAAAACTGGACCGTGTTAAATCAGTTTATAGTTCTCCACCTTTCCAAAAGTGACTACATCCTAGCACCATTGCAGAACAAAACACCTGATTCAGTGTGGTGCCATTGAATACCTTGCCCAACAGCCATATGGTCGATGAGATGTTATTGTGATGGGAACATCTGCGGTGTTTCTGAATCTTCTACCTCTTTCATGTCTTTCCTTTAATAATGGAACTCATCACTTGCAGCCTTTTAATATATTTTTTTAACTTTTAAGTCTCTTGATAAAGTCAAATATATGTAAGATTAAATTAAGCAATGTTTAAGGATGTCAGCAACTGTAAAGTATGTAAGATTTTTAGAAGCACTATATTTTATGATTAGACTGTGTCTAGGATTATGACAAAATATTGGCCTTGGGAGTTCAAATTATTTTCTGTCACAGTCGACAAGTTCTGGTAAGTATTTTTGAGAAATATAAATATGAGTGCAAGTGGGTGCAGACAGACCATCTGGAAGGACCCAGTCACTTTTAATTGCTTTAGGAAAAGATTCTGCACTTTTGTGAAGATTAAGTATGTCAGCACTGAAGAGTATTTTTTGCAAAGATTTGCTTTGAGTGTAGGTAACTGAATTAAAGAGAGTTGGTAGTGTATAGCTCATGAAATCAGGGCCTGAGCTACAATCACTTGAAATCAATATGTGTTTTATTGATTTCCATGGAATGTGAGTAGGACCCTCAAGGAGTTCACCCACATTAGGACATGATGCTAACCCAGTGGCCGCTGTGTTACTCTGTTGCCTGGAAGCTGTTTTTCCCTCCCATATTAGTATCTTGTCTCTAGTAACTGGACTGTTCATCATGTGCCTTTTTTTCATATTTTGTTTAGATACAAACTAGCATGTAATTTTAAAGAATCTTGTTACGTTTCTATGCGTATTTTATGTTTACCACTGTTTACTCTGCCCTTTCCATTTTGCCTTATCAGGAAGCAGAAAGATTGGCAGACTAAACTGGATGTAACATACTGGCTTTTTGTGTAATGTTCATAGCTTCTTGTTCTGCAAACAAATGGCTCTCCTGACTGTATTTTCAATGTAGTATGTACTTCCAGCTACACTCTTGTTTTGGTATAATTTATTTGTAGCATATGATGGTACAGTTATGTGTGTAGTGTCAGTCACTTTCACATTTGGAGATATGTAGTGACTGGAAGTCTAGTTATGAGCACTAATTTTAAGTTAAATAAATATTGACTTTCACTTTGATGGTCTAGAGTGAGAACATCACAGGACATGGGTTTTTGTCACATTCTTGTGCAGAGAATTTTGCATCTGCTTGGTAACTCTGAGACTTTCTCACTGCAGAAAATCTGAACTGGCAGAGCTGTGTGAGCCTCCAAAGCCAGTGGAGGTCGAAGAGGGAAGCTGTTTGCTTGCATTCTGTGGGTTCCTACTTCTAGAATGTAGCATGTTGGAAGCTGACAGATTAATCACCTCGAAAATTGCAAATATTTGTATCCACTGTACTTAGTTACACTGGCAATAGCAATATAAATTGCCGCATAATACCTCATCCAGTCTAAAATAGGGTACTTTTATTGTCACTAAGATCTCTTAGTCGTTCTGACTCATTGAAACCCATGCTTTTATTTTGGTTTTTATTTGTATTTTAATAAATTAACTAGTTATTGCCAGCTATGCTGTAGATGCCTGTTGAAGTGGGGAAGTTATGAGTTCTTCTCAGTACATTAAAAGTAATTGTCCATATGAACATTGGACCTGGCAGATGAGAGCTATGTATTTCAACATGTGGGAGAAGAATATTGTAAATTGAAAATAAAATTAGTATGAATAACTGATGGAGACTGGAAAATAGAGATCATATCCAAATAATACTTCTGCACAATGATTCCACAGCTTAACAAGTAAAAATTTACCTGCCAGTTCTAAATTTGTTGACATAAGAACTGCAGCGATCCATACTATAGACTTTTGGCAAACATATTCAGGCAGTTTACCAGAAATGGTTGTGACTGATTTATAATTTACATATAACTTTTGCTATATTTAAATAAGTAGTTTTATAGAGGTTCTTCATTTCATATAGCCTATCTCTGTGTAAGTTGTGAAATTAAGTCACTACTTGCCAGTTATCTGCTTCAAAGGGTGACTTGACCTTAAAGATCACTACTGTCAAATGACTTCAAGAGTTTTGTTCCCAATTTATAAGATGTTAAACCTGCTAAGCTGATGTACTCATTAGGTAATTTTGATTGTGCTAATGAACAAATGGACTTTTGGGTTATAGCCTGAATTAAAATCAGGAAGAAATTATGTCCCTAGCTAGCGTACTGAAGTCCACTTACCTGAATCCCTGTTGCTGGGTTTAAATGAACTGAGTCATCTTAACACCCATGGGACAAGAAAACAGAACTAAGATAGGTACATACACTGTTATAGGCATGCATATATTGCAAATTCTAACAAAATTTGTAGTAATTTCATTGCTTAATGAAGAGGATAGGATGTAACATGAAACAATTTGAATCCCATACCTAGCTGTTGTAAGCAGATGTGCCAAACTCCATCGTAAAACTCAGCAAGTTCTTTTTCTCTTCCATCTGCTTTCCACTCCTACTGAAAAGCATTTCACCTAATGTTTAATATATCCACTAACAGCATCATTTTGGTTGGCTAAGATGAAAAAGCTGCTAAGTTAGTTCTTTTCTACACAACAGCCTGGATAAGGTCTTTCCAGAGTTGTGCTGTGTCATATTTCTCTTGCTCAAAGTCTGAAGATCATCCACTCTCTATGTTATTTAGGTAGCTATAATCATTAGCAGACTCTCTGAGCCACTGTTACTAGTAACAGTGTGAAATTATTTACCTCATTTTTAAGAAGATTGAACATTCTGGTCTTTCCTGAAGCCATTTTTTTTTTGCCTGGAATAGATTACCTATCAGACTGCTGAGCTGATGATCCCCTATTTGCGTGGCTTCCAATCCATATTGCATTTATTAGCAGCATGGGATTTGACTTTGATCAGATTCCCTGAAGACAAATACACATAAACTGTACACAGGTACAGCTTATCTTCACATGACTGTGATGTTCTTATGTTAACTATTAGGCAACAGAGCAGGAAAAAAGAAAACAGTGAACACTGATTGTGTCGACACAGTAGCAATACCATATAGGCCTGTTAAGGGTGATTTCACCAGACATAGGAAATGAAGTTATACCTCCTATCCTCTATGCTAAAGAACTCCTTTGACCCCAGTATTTTCCAATTCAACTTATGAAAAATATTTATGGTGCCTCAAGTATGGATGCTGATGTAAACTAAAACTAAAACATTAGCTTGTACAGTCAGCACGTGGTATCCCATCATTCCACAAGTTTTCTGTAACTGATAAAGCACTACAACAGTCAAAACTGGTATGTTCTCTCAGCCAGGTACCCAAAACAAGCCCTAAAAATAAGGTCAGAACATAGAAATGTCATTTGCTCATACCTGAAAAACTGTACCAAAACTGACTCCAAAATTGGCTCACCTAGCCAGGTCTGGTGCATTCAGTTCTCTAAAATCCAATCTACAGCAGTTTCAAAATCACTTTAGCTAAGCCACTTTGACACTGTTTAAAATTTCTGCTATCTAGACAGGCAGTGATTGCAATATAACTCAGAATGAGATGAGGAACGTTGGGGAAAGTAAGCACAGAGCAGTTAAAAAGAAACACATTCTCTAAAGGAGAAATAGTAGTGTCGTACACTATTTTTAATTACTAGAGCATAAAATGTCAAAGCAACAAGCTATTTTTTTTCTGTTTCTGTATTCCTCAATAAAAAGAAAGTTTTGGTTAAAAAAAAATATCTTAATATGAGGCCTTAAGACCTTATATAGTATAACTTTAGCATGGAGAGTCTATTTTTACAATCATGTTAAAAATTCTGTATATAGGCCTGACTGACCTTGTAAGTATAGTGGTGCTAGCAGCTTATCATGCAACATTGTAAGGCTCAGTGTAGCAGTAAATATTCATTTATTTTGATTATTGGTACAAGGACTCCTGCTCACTGCCTGTGTTGAGCCTCCGCATATTTTATGCTTGGAAGTACAGTCCAAAATATATACAAACTGTGGATATAGATCCTGTTTTTTCTTTTCTTAAGGGTAAAGAAATATTACAGTAAGTAGTGTTTTATATAGAATACAGTACTTATTTTTATTGTTGCATAAATGCAAAATATTTTTTTCAGAATAGAAAAGCATTACAGATGTTTTAATCTGCTGGAGAAAACAGTATTTACAGTATGACCAGTTCTTTCAGCAAAGCTTTTGGGGTGGTATATGCCAATTGGCTCTGCCAGCTTCATTTTGTGCTAATGTTTATCTATCTTCAGCATTGCTGTAAAAAAAAAAAAAAAAAAGGCTATTTTTTCACTCAACTTGCCCTTCTTGGTGAAACATTTACATAGGCAAGGAGAACTGTGTTTAATCACTGAGGCTGGGCTAGTATTGGCAAAAACAAACAATGCATAATATTGTTATCTTTGCTAGTTTTAATCCTTTAAAAATCATACCTGATATAGTAGAAATAAAAGATTTTTGACAAACACCAAAATGAAGCATTACAACTTTCTAGCTTTGAGTGTGGTATTTTTGTCATAAACATACAGGCACTGGGCTGTTGAAGTGAATGAATCTGGCTTTCATGTAGCAAAACAAAATGTTGCTTTTTATAAAATCAAATTATTGTAATTTGACGTTCTAAATTCCTGCTCACTTTTAATAACAGCATCACAGTATCCAATTCTATGGGAGTATTTAATACAAATGCCTGTGGTTTTCAATGTTACTAACATATTGTAAAATCAGTAAAGTGACTTTCAACAACAAAGACTTTTGTGTATTTTTTTCTCATAAGTCCTTTTACCTGGCACTTCCTGGTTTATATGGCTCTATTAAAAAACGATGCTGCATGCCTGGGAAATGCTAGTAATAGAATATAGATGCTACTTTTTAGTGGAATACAGATGTGACATTTCAAATTCCAGGGTTGAAAATTATCCCATGACCATCCCAGTCTTTGTCTTAGGGTCCTACTGTTCTCCAGGCAAATCTAAAATTCCTGTTCCTTAGGTTTGCATGTCTGAGGGCAACCTAGAAAAAATACCTACATTCTTACGTATGCTTGGTTGTTTGCACAAAGGTCAAGAGCAATCGCTTCACTTAGTATCATATGCATTCTGGCATCCTTCCCAGAATGCCTTTTGGGAAAGAGAAACCCTTAATTCTGAGTTAGAGATAACTGTTTCTCCAAAGCAGGTAACCTGCATATTCAAATTGACCACTGAATCTGCTCTGACCAGGGAAGCAATTTTCACTTAGGTTTCAGGTATCCTTTGCTTTTAGCTCAATGACAGCAAACTCTGTAGTCTCTCCTTAGCAACTGTATTTATCTTAGTTTATGGCTAAACGTGAAAGATTATTTATCCTACCAGCCTTTGTGAATACCATGGATTTTGGAAATGCTGATGAAGAATAAAATGCAATTCTTTCTTAGGTAAGCTAGAATTTGTTCCTGGTTTTGGAGCAATTTGTTTCCCATTTTTCTCTGGTTTGTGTTTACAAGAAGATCCCTAAAGAAAACCCTATTGGTTCACACTGGTTCTTGCAGCATTTCATTGCCTAGTACCTGGCTGCTGCCAAAACAGTAGTTTGGCCTGGGAAAATAAACTGGCAAAGACTTGCGTGTTTGGTCCTCCTCTTTCATTGCTCCAGACACCCATTATACCTCATTAAAGTAATCCCTCCACCTCAAAAAAAAACCCCTCAAGTATGCAAATAAGCAGAACACATATTTCAAGCCAGGCTTTTATTTGCAGGTGCAATTTTACTCCCACATTTTTTCATCACTAATTCTTATGATTTATTGCACATCATACCTGTATAGCCATGTGGAACTTCCAGGAAGTCTCATCATTTAGTAAGCTACATTTATCTACAAGAATGTTACATTCATTATTGTTGATGTTTTCTTTCATTAGCAGTTGCAGGCCTGTGGTGGGTGCAGAATTGGAAGAGCAATCTGTAGCTCAAGATAAAAGAGCATAATAACAGAAGGAAAGTGGGGATGAAAAACAAAGCCAGGCAAAACAATCATTAGCCACCTCCCGTCAGCGACCAATGCCCAACCAGTCTCCAGGGAACAGCTGCTTTGGAGACTTCACCTCTGCCCCAGGTTTACTGCTGAGCATGACATCATATAGCACAGAACATCCCTTCACTCCATTCAGGTGAGCTGTCCCTGCTGCCCTCCCCCACAGCCTCATGCTCACCATCCGCCTGCTCACTGGGGACAAACAAAACCTGGCTGTGCAAGCACTGCTCAGCAACAGCTAAAGCACTGGTGTGTGAAGAACACTGCTTCAGTCACAAATCTAAAACACAGCCTTACAGGCTGCTGTAAAGAAAATTAATTCCATCCCAGCCAAAGCCAGTACAAAACCAAACACAATTAAGCAAAATATGAGAGAAATGTTGTGTGGGTAATGAGAATTTCGGTAAAGATGTCTCATCCTTTTTGGGGTAAAATTAAGTGTAAGGATGAATATTGCATTTATGCAAAATGGTCTAATCAAAACCTTAGAGGAAGACCAGCCTTTGCTTCGTGCTCAATTTACTAACTTTGTCAAAGTTCTGAACTCCAGCAGAATTGACGTTGGCTACTTCAGTCACAGAAACCTCTATGGACTTTGGTCATTGTGTTGGAAATGGTTTGTCTAGCATTCCGAGTCTGTAACCCAACTTCATGTGCAAAAAGACTATGTATAGTTATCATAATGTGGAAGTGTAATCATGTCTGTGCCTTTAAAGTTAATTTTTGAGGGCAGAAAGAACCAGCTTCTGAAATTAATCTAAAAGCAATATGCAATGGATTCTGTATTTAAGTATTAAGTACTAGTTGCTTCTTCAGGTGAGACCAGACAGCTTTGAATTTGTAGCACAGAAACTAGAGACCTAGATTTTACAATATTCTTAGCAAGCTAGGGTATAAAACAGTATCTTCAAGCCAAATTTCTGCTCCAAGGATTATTTCTGTTCTTTGTCCAGTGGCATATGTTTCTATAAATACACATGCATGCACAGTTCTGCATTCAGTCCTTGGGGCAAAGACTCCTTCCCAAAAAGTGCTCTAAAACTACTACAAGAAATATACTCCCTTTATCATTCTGGCATTCTTGCATTTACAAGGCTAGCAAAAGAAAAAGTAGCATTCCTCTGTGGTACACAGAAGTGATCAAAATTAACTGAAGTTTCATTAACTTAACTGGAAAAAAGTTTGAGCTAACCCCATATAGTTAAACTGCTCCCTCTTCCCATACGATGTCAATCTTCCCCTAAAAAAAACCCAAAACAAACATCCAAACAAAAAACCCCTCAAAATCTCAGGCAAAGAAGTTGCTTTTCTGTATCTGCTTTCATGTAAATGATACAGCACTGGTATACAGATCACTGCTGTGATCTGAAATAGTAATCTGGAAGAATTATTCAAAGTGGGGTTTGGCCCTTGTGTGTTAGTTGGCTTGTAGAGGCAGGAAAGGCCACTTTTTAGGGCTTATGATGGAAGGGACAGAAACATTAATTTACATGTAACTGAAGTCTGGTAGCTTAGAAGTTAATTGCTAAAGGGAAAGTTCATGTATAAAGTGACACAATACAGTTTTTATATGTTTTAAAGTTTTTTGTATAGTGACACAAAGAAAGCAAGAATCCTACTGGAACAAAAGCCCCCGATACAAGAGCACACTGCCACAGGAGTTCTCTGCTGTTTTTCACATCCCTGGAGCTGTAACAGGCAGCCTTGCACTCAGTGCATGCTATCACAGGCTGCATAAGCAACTTGAACTTACTGGTATTCTAACTGACCAGTGCAAAATGACCATTCCAAAAGTCCTTTCAGTTTGTACATGTGTCTTATGCTGTCCAAGACAAAAGAATATGTATCATCTTATATCATGCATATGATTCTGTTTAAGAGAGAAAAAGATAAGTTGCACTCCAGGAGTATTTGTGAATCATAGGACAGAAGTAAACAAACTACAGAAAAAAAAATACTATCTGCATTATTTGAGTCATACATAGTGAATTCCAAGTTTATGGAAATAAAAATATTTTAATAGTCACAGGTTAAAAGTTAAAGACAACAGTACATGATTAGTTTATAGTCTTTGTCAAAACTAAAAAAAAAATATGCAAGTGTGTAAAGCAACATCCTCATAGAACAGGTGATTTCCAATGTAGAGATACATAATCATGGGAAGATTTGGCAAAGCAAAACACAAGCTGGAATGTTAATTGTGATCATCCACAGCTTCCTTCCTTTTGATTTAGATGCTCATAACACACTGTATGAACTGGAAAAAGAATAACCATGCATTAGATGTATGGTGGAGAACAAGCTTTCACTTTTTATCCTAAAATACCCAGTGTCATTACACTACCCTCTTCTGCAAATCAGTGAACCACCACCTTTGAAACTAAATTTGAAATTTAGCTAACAGTTAACTAAAACAAAGCATCTCCATAATAACAATAAAAAATGCAGGAATACTTCAATCTAGTGTGATCCTTTTCCTGCACAGATACAACCAGGAAGCCAAGATTTACAAGCCTGACTGTGATGTGTACCAGTTCCCACTGCACTTCCAACCTTTCTTGGGAAAAAAGCCTACCAAGCCTTAAACCAGAAGAAGGAAAAAGTTCACAAAGTCATGCTGGCAAGCAGTGTAGCCTCTTAGATATTCTTGAACCACCCAGGTAAGAAGTCCAGAAAAAAATGTGCAGTAACATTTTATGGGCCTCTATAAAATACGTGAGAACTTTTTGAGACAATGCTCAATAAAACTCAGAACTCTTGTGCTCTCATTTAAAGCTATAAGCAGAGGGAAGACAGGTACAAATTCAGATCATTGCTGTTTGTCTTCAGTTTTAAGTTTTTCTTTAGTTTTACAATGTAACTAGGTTATTCATTAAAGTTCACTTACATCATCATACTGGAAGTTCACAAAACCCTGCTGGGATGCATCCCTTCTTCTAAAACATTCTGCAAAAATACATTAAGAAAACATAACAGAAACCAGGTAAGAAAAATTACAGTTAATCCATTTTAAAAAAATGCATTGTACTTTCAGTAAATTCTCCAAGTCACATAAATGAGAACCCATGAAGAACACTGCAGTTCATTCCAGGAGTTCATTTTCAGTTCTTCCATTTTCATATACAAACCTTTGTTATGTTCATAAGTACAGCTTCCCAGTTTTGATAATGTAACTCTACTAGTCTCTGGAATAAACCCTGCATTAGTTTAAAGTCCATTTTTCAGTGGAAATTTAAAAAAATCAATCTAGAATTGTTCTGGTTCTGCCTATTTTCTTATTGAAAGAAACCATTTTGTGTTACATAAAAGGTAAAGCTGAGCTTGAGATAACTGAATAATCAGATTTTGTTAAATAAAAACATATTATGGGGATGATAAAACAAGGCTATAATCCAGCATACCAGTAAGAGCTCTGAGTTTCACACAGCAGGCAACGTAGTCATCAAATGTAATCTTCCCATGAGTGCTGTATCGCCGTGTGATTGCAGTCACAGCCTGTGGGCTCAGTCTAAATCCTATTTGAAAACAGAAAGCCTATACTGAAAACCCAGGTAAGTTAACAGAATCCAACACATTTTTAGTTGGAAATACCACGTGTTGGTTAGTGAGGGATGATAACTGGTACTGGGAAATGCTGTCAGTGCCGGAAGAAAGAACATTTCAGAACTCACCCATATTCATCAAGGCTTTCTCCAGTTCTTGACGATCCACTGTACCACTTCCATCATTGTCAAAACTTAAAAAGTGTTGCTTCCAGCCATTGATCACAGCCCAGAGTTCTTTAAATTCATTAAATCCCATTGTGCCAGACATATCCCTCTGATTCCAATGCTAAGAAAAATGTTTAACTTAAAAAAAAAAAAAGCAAACCCCTTTCTTCAATGGAAATTTGTATTTTTATAATCTGTAGTTAAAAACTCTTTCTTGAATTTCAGAATTAACAATATTTTACTATTATTTTTCCTGGTAGAAAACTAACTCCAGCATCCCACTGCACAGAAATAATACTACTGACCAAAATTCAAAGAACTTGTTCTCCCCACTTCTTAGTGAAACCGGATAAAACTATTTGCTCTTTCTGATTTGAACTTCATTCACACACTTCTCTTTTACCTGCCACAGTGTAATTGTTACCAATAAAATACAAATCCAAAATGAAAACAAATGAAAAAATCACTTTTAAGTTAGAATAGTAACAGTTCTCTCACATTCTAAGCAGTTTAAGGTGAGCTGACAGCCCTTCCAGTTTAATTTCTGCTTTTTTCTTTTTAAATGGCAAAACATTTAAACATGACAATCTAAGTTTTCACTAACAATCTCTAAGGATTCCAACCTTGCACAGTATACCCAAGTCTTCCAAAGGTCCCACTGCTGAATGCCACATCCACCATCTCATTAGATACTCCAACTTGATTCAGTCAATGAACAGGATTTACAGGGACTCAGACTGTATTCAGGCTGTGCAATACAAATGCTTATCTCACTAGAAAGGACATCTCCAGTGGTGTCCAATTTCAAAAGCACAAGCCATTTGCACAAAACTGATCTGGGCTGCCAGACTCTTCTTCCATTCTCAGGAGAGAAAGTCCCCTGGGCTTTGAGGGATACCACTTGTTGTATGGAGGTAAGTCACTGAGAGCCTCATTTATCAGAATGATTATTTCATCCAGTAAAATCAGTAAGAACAGAATTTTGTAGTTCCCCAACTGTAATCATCATTGTACTTATCAAGTAAGAGCTGAATGGGAATTACAAAGCATTGCCCCGACTTCGTGTAGCCTCTCATCTTTGCTTACGTAATGCAAGAATGTTTACATTTCATAGTAAAGGATACGTCCAGCATTGAGATCATGAGTCTGCAAGTCTCTAAGTTGAAAGCTGTTTAAATCAGAAAAAGGAAAAATAAGTTACATTAAAATAATTATTTGTAGTTTTGTTTGTCTAAATGTAACATTTTAAATTGCTTTTTATTACATACTAATAATATATTATAATGTATAAAATATTATGTAATTACTTCAACTGTATACAGTGGTATCATATTTTGGCCCAAATATGAGCTTTTATTAATTACTTGCTAGAAAAACTGAAAGCAGACAATCTGGAGGCAATTCAGTTATATTTGAAATAAATTTACTTTCATCTCAATTGATAAAGGTCTTGGGTTTCAGTCAACATGGTAATTTGTATTTCACCAGAGACAACACTTGAGGAAGCCAGTTTTACCCAGAGGCTCAATCTTGCAAATTGAACACTAGGTATCCCAACAGAGGAATCCTGCCATAGAACTTTTTGGTCAGTATCGAAGCTCAATTTAAAATCAAAGCAAAACACCCTTTAAAGAATTGGCTGTCCATTGCAAAACAAAACACTTCAACTCCACATTTCAGCAGCAGGTAACTAAGGAGGCTGAGAAGGGAAGTCTTACATGCACAGAACTGAATACAGAGAACTTATATTTTAAAGTAGTCCATATGGAAAGAAAGCCCTTCCATCATGCAAATAAATTAAAAAAACACCCAACTCTGCAGAAGGCACAATTACACAGGTTTCTAGTAGATGGGATAAGAATTAGTAGTATGCTTTAGGGTTGGGGTTTTTTTGTTTATTTATATAATTAACTTACGTTTATATGCTCCTGCAATCCCTGACTGGGTGAGACATCTCTGTAGCTCATCAGCATCTATTTGTCCGTCCTTTTAATAACAAAAGATGGATCAGCTATTGTTTTAATTCCCTTTCCCAGGCTGGTTATTCCCAGTACCCACTCCCTTTTCAGTGGCATTAAGTACCCCTTCAAAAAACAACTGGTTGCCTGTCTGCTAAGTAACAGAAACTGCCTTTTGTCACCCATATCTGTAATTATGTTTCTTTGGTTAATATTTTTGCACTATGCATTAGCTTTTCCATCCAGTGATGTACAGGATGGCAGGTTTGCTCTAAACATAACTTTAAAAAAAACCCCAAACAAACCCACATCAAATACTGGTAACAAATACTTCAGAGATAGCTGCACAGAAACCAAGGTGTAAAATTTTGGACAGAAAGACAGCTTTTCTTAAAGTACTAGTTTTAATTTATTGGGTATTGTAGTCACTTTAGATTATACATTTATGATCTCACTGCTACAACAGGAAACCTAGAATCCAGATCACACATACCCTCTTCTCAAGACAGCCTTAAGACTTACTATTCCCAAAAAAACAGGTTGTTTTAGATTTTTAAGTTGTTAGCAGAACAAACAAAAGTAGAAAGCAAAGAACTTTGAAAGAAAAACAAAACAAGCCCAGAAAATATACCTATCTGCAAGGCTTGGAAAATGACTCACTTCCAATGCATCCTGCTCAGGGCCAAATAGAGAAACAGCCAAATTCATGGAAAGCAATGAGCTGTCAAAAGTAGAGCTGGAATTCTAGGTCACATTCCTCACACACCCAACATGAAGTTCGGTTCACAGAGAGTTTGAGTATAATTTAACCTCATTCAAGGATGGAACATTTTATCTGCAGATATAAAAAATGATGTGACTTTTGTAAAGCATTAAACAGAGAAAAGAGAGTTGCTTTACATTTAAAACAAATTTATTTGCTGCAGTGTTTCCCTAATGTCTTTAAATCCATTACGCATTTTTTTTCTTCTTTTTTTAAGAGATGCTACTAAATGGCATCATGGGAATGGCACAGCCAGGGAACTTTCAGAAATGAAGTGTCATCATTCATGGGACAAATAGTGCTTAGTATGTTAAATGATATTTGGCAAGGTCTGAAAAAAGATGAACAGTGTTTTGATTAAATGTAAAATCAATGGCACATAAAGCCAAAATTGCTTCAAATCAACTCCATCAGTCTAACTATACAGAGGTATTTAAAACTTTACACTTATAGGAAAAACAAAAAGAAAAAAGGAAGAGATTTGAAATAGACATGCATATTAAGCAGCAAATCTCTTCAAAGCCTTTGTGCCTTTTGAAACAAAGGTAGGATGAGTACACCTTTAAAATAGGCAGGAAGACAAAAAAGCGTGATTTGCAATAATGATTTAGATTACTCAAAAGATGCCTGGTTTTGTTTTTTTCAGTAAAATTTAAGCAGTTCAACTAGACAAGGCACAGGGGCTTTGCAAGCAGACTAATAGAAGAAAATTATTACTTCTTATAAAGACTCAGTTAATTTAATAAAGATTTGAAACAATACTTTTGACATTCTTTTGTAAACAAACAAAACTAATTCCCCAAATCTGAGACAAGATCTCTGTTGTGGACCACTTCAAAGAAAGCTCAGAGTTAATATATTACACTGGCATAAAAGCAACAGAGAGAGCAGCACACCATAGCCAAAAACTTCACTAATTCTACAATAAGTACTGATGGAAAACTGTGAGATGTGGCTTTTTACAGAGTTGCACAGATGGCTGTAAAAGCAAGTGATAGTTTATCTGTTCCTTCACTGTCTCCTTACAGGGTTTTTACTTCTGCACAGCCACTGGTCTCTGAAACTGACCCTTCCAATTCCAAGGAAAACATAACAAAAGCTACCCAGTTCATTTCAATAAAATTTCTGCAAATGAAGAAGTATTTAAGAGTTCTAACTTAAGTACTAACTTGATCATACCCATTAGCTCACTGGTTCCCCAGCTCTCAGGAACCATGCTTGAGTAGCCTAGGGATGGTCTATGCTTTGCTGAAGTCCAGCTCCTGCCACCTCCTCTCCACAGGGCTGCATCGTGTTTGCTGTTACCTCCCTTTCTCTTCACACTAGGAGCTCACATTTTTTTTCCAGGCAGACATCCAGGTGGTACCTGGATGCAGAAGCACTTCAGCACGTTCAGCAGAATTTAGCAGGGGCTCCACCTCACCAGAGAAGTCTGCATTACTACACACAGCTCATTTCAGTGTCCTTTACCACAAAAATACACTGTCTACATATTTTCACAATATATATAGTATATAGACTGTAAGATACTTAATTCAAAAGAATGATGTGGAGAAGAATAATAACTCAAATTACTGCTAATATTGCTGAATTCAAACTTTAATGCTGTGGTTATGTCTACCTGTGGATAACAGACTGAGGAGCATAGTTGCAGATTTGCACATACCCTAGAAGTGTGCATTATTTATACATATGGCGAACAAAGACAGAAGCTCCAGTCAATAAACCTAACTTATTTGCTCCTAAATTTTGTAATATCGTTCAAGAAACACTTATTTCTAGTACCATCCATAATCATACATAACCAGCATATGCCACAAAATTACAGGCATGCAGTGCAGAATCACAGGGAGGAAAAAAGAAAGACCTAAATTAAAGTTGTGAATGCCTTTTCCTATAAAAGAATAACCACCCTATCCTACCTGCAAACCCAGATATTGGCACAACTCAAGACTCCTCTTCCAGTTGTGAGTCTTTTGAGACCATATAATGATGTCTTTCTTGATTGCATTTCCTTCTCTCAGCAAGGCAAGGCCATCTCCCCCATACTTCCCAATGTTTCTATCTTCCTCCTCCTGAAACTGACAGCATTGCCCAACCCAGAGCTGAGCCAGAATTCAGTTACATTTCAAGTAACTACATAGTCCCTGTTATATAGTTCCACAGGAAATACAGCATGTACCTGCATATGTGTGTGTCTATGCACTTACACACAATATAGCATTGTTCAAACTGTGTAGTTACTGCATCAGGAGAGCTACATGGTACAGCCACCTATAGCTATATATAGCATTTAGGCTGAGTAAAACCATTCTGTTTTCATTTTTTTTTTCTCAACTTGAAACAACAGTTTTCCTCACTGCAAATACTAGACATTCTTCTTTCCCAAAGCTAAGACAGGCACTATTACCCAGGAAAAACAAACAAACAAAAATAATTCCAACAAATAAATAGGTTTACCTGCCCTGCTACTGCAGCAAAATAACCATACAAAGGATCTTGAGCTTGTCCGGGGAATGCTGGTCCTCCTGGAGCTCCTCCATACTTCAGGAATCAAGAAGAAAATGAATTTCAAATCAAGGATTCAGTTAACTGATATGAAACTGCAGTGTTTGTACTTAAAAATCAACTTGTATTTTTATACGCTCACCATGCAAATAAGTCAAACCAACCAAAAAATAAATTCCTTAAAAAAAAAAACAACCCCTGACCCAAGACACACTCTTGGTATTGGTACGTATATAAAAGTATGGTTATTAGAATTTAAGCAGATCAGTGTGCAACCTGGCACGTGAGCAACACACTGACCCAGGTCCAGTGAGGTGTATCTCATGAAGGCTGAATTTTACTCTACTACAAGCAGGAAATGGGGTACTGGAAGGGCACTGATGCACTGCAGGTTTTTCTTTCCATTTCAAAAACGTTGACCAAAACGGATCTCTCGGGAAAATACTTAGAAGAATATGCATTAACCACAGAAATTTTTACATGAAATTGATAAGTGAAAACCACGGAATGACAGAAGACAACCCTGTTTGACGAAGCTGAACCAATAATCTGTGACACAACGTGTATTGTTTGCTGAGACAAGAACGCGCCTGTTTTTGGAGATGGCCAGTTTGGTCAGGAAAGAAGAAGCGAAGCTCTTTGAAGCCGCTCATCTACAGCCCCATGAAGCAGCGTTACACAAGGCACCGGACCCCGGGCTCGGGGGACGCCGGGGGAGCCGCCTCGGGGAGC